CGAAGAGCCCAAGATGAGCCTTGTATACCTGCCACCAGCTAAAATAGAACACTCCAGACAGCCAAGTCACTGTGCTCTGCCTGTTGGTCCCCAGGCTTTTCCTGTGTCCCTCCCCCCCATACCTCCCCAGCCACCGGCCCAGTCTTGGTTGTTCCTACAGACACATTTATTGTTGCTGCTGTGTCCCAGGATGCCTCTGAGCCTTTATATAGATGGCCCTGCCCAACAGAAACGCTCCAGCAGCATGCCCTTTTCCCTGAAGTGTTCTTGACACAAGTTGACCCACATGCTGTCCCCTGTTTGTCGTTATCTTTGTTTTGCGGCTGTTCTGGGCACCTGCTCAACTTCTGAGCTACACCTCCAGCTTGTTGATGGCTTACAGAAGCCATGACCTTGCGAAGGGCCTTCGGGCCGCTGGCAGGTCGTCCCTGACAAATAATGCTGCTAGGTAGCAAATACCCTGGAACATGCAAGAGCTTCCCAAGGGGACACCCAGGAGTACTCTCTGGGCTGCAGGTCTGTCATGCGATTTACTCCCATGCCAGCAGCCTGCCAGTTTCTGTTGCTCCATGCCCTCTCAATATTGACATATCGTGTAGACAAGCCCTAGTCTTTACACTACTTAATAGCCCTTTGTGGTTACAAAATGAAACAAAACAATCTGGAGGACCGTGGCAGGGAGAAGCACACGGGGGCTGTGTTCCGGGTAATCACAGCCTCGGCAAGGCTAGATGGAGGTTACTGAGGCAGACTGTGCCACTGTTAACAGTGCATCCTGCACAACACATGACGTAGAGGACCAACGGGGAGGGGGCGGATTTAGAAAGACTTGTTGGCCAACTTAGCCGACTCAACCAACGATCTGCTTCAAGGCATCACCCCTTTGTCTTGAACTTTTATCTGACCGATGAGTAAGGAGTCTGAGCTGGGTTTGCCTCGGGTGGTTGCAGTTCAAGCCAGTTGGTCCGGTATATAATTATCACTCGCACCTCCTCTGACTCCTCAAGTGCTCAGGCCTGACAGATAATTTATATAAGCTGTCCGCTAGAGAGGGAACAATTCAGCTCAATTCCCCGTCCAGTCCTGCTTCCCTGGGGTCCACGTAGATCGGATGGTGGCATGGAGCCCGCAGGATGCGAAGCACAGAGCAGAGGAGATAGCCGTTGCAGATCCGTCCAGAGGAGGAACCAACCATCCTCGAAAATGCCTGGCTCCATCAAAGGACAGTTCCAGCCACGCTCTTAGATACTCCCCATCCACCCGGGATTCCACCCCTATTCTGTGTCTCCTCGAGTCAGAAGTCCTTCCTGGCCCCCGAACAGAGCTCCTTGGCAGTTCTTTCACGAGAGCAATTCCTGGATGCACTACGAAAGGGGTTGCCAAGATCTTGTGACACCTGGGATAAAGGAGGATCCTTGTGGGAAGTGGGCTCCAGGCAACACGTAGATGTCTGGGCTTCCTCTGGCACATTCCTTTCTGCACACACCCCCATATGGGCAGACCCCATCCATTCAGTTCAAGACAAACAGGCTGTTTGATCAACCCAAAGAGAAAAGTCAGGGTGGACTTCCAGCATGGAAACTTCCAGAAGGAATGACATGACCCATGGGAGATGTGGGGGTTGGCATTCAGTGGTGCCCTTCTGGGGTAGTGTGATGGACAAAGGCCTGTCCTTAGAAATGAATCCACAAAAGATTCCCAGAGAGGCAGCCCTGGGGACCTCACCTCTTACTTTGAAGGGCAGGTTCACTAAGAACTTCTCCTGTTGGTGAAGTTTCAAGACTCCTCTGTGGGACATCAGCTCCACATTCTTTCAAACTTTAGGTGATCTGACCTCTTCTGATGTTGTCTTTGGTAATTGCTGTACCATTTGCTTGTAAGGCTCTTGCAGAGAGAGGGGGCAGGAACACACACATGAAGAGCTGTGTACACATAGGCACATAGATGTATGTTCTGTAACAGCATAGTTGCCCTGTCAGGAACACTGACGCCACGTTTCTATTTTTGAGATTCTCCTTCACATTCTAAGTAGCTCAATAATTTTTTCACATGAATAGGTGGGTCAGTCCTCTAATAGTGGGTGTTTAGACCGGACAGGGAAGCCAAATGGTACTGTTGTCTCCTTCTGCCATCTTCATTTCTTCCGTTTCATTTTCTGTAATTACAAATGAGTTTCTCTTGTGTTTAGAGAAGATGGCTAACTCCCAATTAAAACATTTCAGTTCTGGGGAAGGAGACAACTCAGTGTTCTTTCCCCTGTGGCCCTCCGTCACCCGCATGGCTATGGAGCAGGATAAATAACACACATGGTGGGATGGCTTTGGTTGGGCCTGTGCTGCCTATGATTGTGTAGCTGATAGAGAACAGTTCGCTGAGGACAGCCAAAAGGAAGAGAGGTTGCTGGGGACAGACGGAAACAGTAGCCATGGGACTTATAACATGGGTGTTATTCTTATCTTCCATCCTCCAGGATAGGAAACTGGGGCTTAGAGAGGGAACATGACTTAAGGTCCCATCCAAACTGAGTGAAGACATGCAAGTCCAGTTCGCTTGATTGCAGACCTCGCGTTCTTTTTGAGGAGCTGGAGGGGACTGTTGAAACAATTGCTGTGGGGCGGGCGGTGGTGGTGCATGCTTTTAATCCCAGCACTTGGGAGGCAGAGGCAGGCGGATCTCTGTGTGTTCGAGGCCAGCCTGGTCTACAAGAGCTAGTTCCAGGACAGGCTCCAAAGCTACAGAGAAACCCTGTCAAAAAAAAAAAGGAAAGAAAGAAAGAAAAGAACAAAAAGAAAGGAAGAAAAGAAAAAAGAAAGAAAGGAAGAAAGAAAGAAAGAAAGAAAGAAAGAAAGAAAGAAAGAAAAGAAAGAATTGCTGTGGAGCCATGGCTGGCAGAGTACCCACCATCCAGTCACTGGTCTCAGACTCAGGCAATCCCTCTGCCTTAGCCTCCCAGGAGCTGGAGTTACAGGCCTCTGTTGTCGCTCTGCCTGAGCCCACATCACCGTATTTATGGCCCACCCAACAAGAGATAGGTGGCGTGTAGGGGCAATTCACTTGACCACTGTGGTTTGGATGAGAAATGTCCCCATAGTCTTAGGCATTGAACATTTGGTCCACAGTGATGCTCTTGTTTGGGAAAGTTTAGCAAGCGTGGCCTTGCTGGAGGAAGGTTGTCATTGGGGGTAGACTCAAAGAAGAAAGTCCTGCCCACTGCCAGTTCTCTTTCTGCTTCATGCCAAGGGTTCAAGATGTGACCTTTCAGCTTCCTGTTCCCTGCTCCCATGCCTGCCCACCAGGAGGGTTCTTAGCCCTCTGGAGCCACACGCCCAGCTAAACTCTTTCTTCTTTAGGTTGCCTTGATCGTGGCATTTTATCCCGGCAACAGTAAAGTGACCAGTCTAGTCACAAACACTAACTTAACCGCTGCTGAGCATTTAGGAACCGGCTAAAAGACCATCTCAATCCAAGACGCAGAAGAAAAGGGCTGAGCAACTCCAAGATAGTAGCTATGGTGGCAGGACACAGATAGCCAGATGCCAGGCAAGGGAGAAAAGGATATGTGGAGCTAAGAAGGGATAATGGGGCTCCACACCACCTATTTGGGGGGCACTGTGTTAGAGCTGTGCTTCACCACGCCATGGAATCCTGGAGAAGAGACCATGAGGCGGGGATATGGTGGAGATGGCTGTGATTTGCAGATGCTTGGTTTGAGGTCCCTGGAGATGCCCACGTGGAGATACCCAGGACCCAGGAGGTGTATATGGTCAGGAGCATGGGAAAGAACCATGTAGGTGGTTGTTTTCCCAGAGGGTGCTGTGCGGTATGAAACTCAAAGGACTGAGGACGGAGCCTGGGGACCACAGTCGGGGCCTAGGGAGAGCAGAACACATCTAGCCTTGGGATCTTGGAACAGTGTTTCATTCATGCTTGTGCGTCAGTGTGACTCGCTCCTCTTCCTGTCCTACCTACTCTTGCTGCCTGCCTTGCCCACGTCAGTCATTCGTGACAGTTCAGCATCCTCAGTGTTTCCTCAGCCTCACCTCGCCTGGCCTCCCTTTGTAAAACTGCCCTTGTTTTCCAGCACAGCGGCTATGACTGAGCCCTAATAGGTGGATGGTGTTAGTAGCTGCGTGAAAACCGAGACCACGCCAACCTTGCTCGCTGCGGTATCCCCGTGGGAAGAGGAGATGGGCCTTGGCCTAGCCCCTTCCCTCGCTCCACCTTCTCCTTCTGGGGGTGCAGTGGGCACCGAGTCACCGTCCATTAGAACTCTCTCGCATGTCTGCGACCCTGTCTCATCGGCTTCACTGAGTCAGTCCTTGGGTACATAGTTTGCACACTGCACTCAGGGAGACCGTGTTCTCGCATTCCCTGAGCTTTGTCTTGATGCTCTTTGGTGTGGGGTTGTCTACCCGGCCGGCTGAGCACTTAGCTCGGGTAGAGTTGGAAGGTCCTCCAGTGGCCACTAGGTGGCCCTCAGGTCTCATTAAGGTCTACCTCCATGTGGGGAGGTCAGAGCACCCCTACACACTCTAGGCTACATCTCCCCCTTACTTAATTAATTAAAATTTCAGGTAAGGCCTTCCTCTAGTCCAGGTTACCTTAGGACTTACTCTGTAGCCCGGGCTAACCTTAAACTCACAGTGATTCTCTTAGCTCAGCCTCCAGGAATGCTGGGATTACAGGCATGAGCCATCACGCCTATCTCTTCTTACTTGTTTGATGGAAAAAGAATGCTAAAGCTCAGACATCCAGAGCACCCGGCCTAAGTGGGAATGGTGTGCACCATTAACTAATGCTAGTCGGTGTGAGTAAGCAGCAAACGGCAGCATCTGAACACTCCGGCTATTACAGGCTTTAATCTCACCTGTAAGCCTTACGTCCTGTCCTGAAATTGGTGTCATTGTCTTACACGTGAGAAATAGAGAATTAAGGAGACGGAGGAGCCTGGTAATCATAGGCAGGGCCAAGTTCCCCACCTACCTATCTCTGTAGCTTCCGTTTCCTCCCAGCCGGTGGCTGGTGAGCAGGAAAAGGCTGTCAACCTTCGCCTTAGAGGGGTGGCGGTGTGGGGGACAAAGACAAAGAGAAGCATCTCACTTCTACTGCGGGAACTGGACACAGTGGAGGGCCTATGTCACTTCTGTCTGTGCTGGGAAAGAGGCCCCCACTGAAATTGACCAGACTAGTGCTTGAGCTGGTGCAGGGGAGTGGGGCCAATAGGCGAGAAGGAGCAGGCATCCAGACGAGAGCTCCCCACCTGAGGCGGGTGCAGAGGACCTGAGCTTCCGGAGACACAGGCAGGGCTGGCACTGGCTTGCAGCATCACCCTACAGACCAGCGCGAGGGTACTTCCTTTGACAAGGAGCTGGGCCAAGAGACTCTGAAAGTCTCATTAGCCCTGATGGCCCTGAGGGGACATTTGTAAGGAGAAAGGAACCCTTACTCCTCCAGCAGCACTGAGGGGAGAAAGGAAGAGGAAATACAAACCCAAAAATTCTTCTCTAAGCATTGTTTTACAAAGTCATGGGCCAGCATAGGCCTCTGCTTGAGGCCTTGAAACCTGTCTGCCGTGGTTTCCTGTGTCCCTCCTCTGAGCTACAGATCCTTAATTCAGAGGGCACACTGCTGACTGCTATCACCTTCTGAACCACACCTCCACCTTACAACGTGTAGTTTATTATGATCAATACCTGTCTTTTGGTTTTTATGTTGTGTGCATGATTGTGTGTGTGTGTGTGTGTGTGTGTGCGCGCGCGCGTGCATGCTTGCGTGTGTGTTCATGTGTGTATGCATGGGTAAGCCAGATATCAACATTGCCTCCCCTTGAATTATTTTCAATAGATTCTCCTCACTGAACCTAGAGCTCGCCGGTTGGTGAGACTGACTGGCCATCAACTCCCAGGAATTCTCCCGTCTCCATTCCTCATTGCTGCCATCCTGGGCACTTGCCTTGGGGATTTGTACTCAGGTCTTCATTCTTGCAAGACAAGCACTTTCTGGAGCCATCTTCTCAGTCACAATCCCATTGTTCTCCCCTTCTCCGACCCCAATGAACGGTCAGCTTTGGAAATGCACCTGTGCACAGACCCTGCCTCCGAGCAGAATCTCTAGGGTTGAGCGGTCTTCCTTTTGGGAGCTGCCAGGTGACTCCAGTGTGCTTTGGGTCTGAGCGCCATGTTGCACAGCCCATTGTCTCTTTCCTGACTACATTCTCTGATTTCCCAGCCTCATCTGGGTTTCTGCACACTGCCTCCTTCCTAAGGAGGCTTCCAGGGACCTCATTGGGAGTTGCCAGCACCCAATCTACACCTCTTTTCTGTGGTGTCCTGTGCTTATCCTGTAAAGCCAGCACTCCCCCACCCCACTCCCGCTCCCCTGACATAAACTCCTTTGTCTGTAGCTGGAGTTCTAAATGGTCTTAACTACTGGTTTATAGTTGCATATCTGTGCCAGGCTCATGATAACTGTTCAATAAACTGACTGAACGTTAAATATCACTTTGAAATCTGTCTTCCTAAAATCTCCCTCTGGCCCCTGTTATTCCAATCTTCCTAATTAAACACAAAAGCCCAAGTCTTCTCCAGGTCTTAACTTTCTCTGAGGGCTATGGCTGTTGGTCCTTAATTAGTACCTTTGAGTCCCTCTGGGTTCTCCCTGCCCTCCTGAGCAAGGATCTGCCTTCCTGTTCCTTTACACATCAATGTTTCTTCAAATAGCTCCTAGAAAATGGGTGCGGACCTCTCTGCACAAAGAGACCACTTGTAAACGCAGAACACAGGCCGGCTCAGAGGCTCCCAAAGTGCTCCCCTCTCGGGAAGATGTCTGAAGCTGCCAAGAGTCACTAACAGGCTTTGGGATGACCCAAAGCTTCTCGATGGCCTAAACAGCCCAAGGCAATTAATTCCCAAACAGTCCAAGGGAATTAATTCCCAAAAGCGATAGTGAAGGGAGAGACCCTAGCTTCTCACTTCCTTTGAATGGATGGCTGGGAACGGGGAGAAAGAGCTGGAATATCTGTGGAATATCTAGGGCCAACTGCTCGGAGCTTTTAGGGTAGCCAGGCTGTTGGCCTCTTAGGACTTGGAGACTGGGCTTGGGTAGAAACAAACTGCAGTCTTCTCAACCCATCCCCATTATTAAGGATGAGTTGATGGACTGGTCCTTGAAGTGCAGCTCAGGTCCCTGAAATCTGCATCAGATGCTGGATGTGGTTGACGAGCCTTCTCTGGGCTGTGGCTCCATTGACTTCCTTCCTCTGCGGTCCATTTCCTTATCTGAAAATAAGGGGATTTTTGAACTAGATATCAAAGGTCCCTTCAGCCCTTCCTTTAGGGGACTGATGATAAAACAGGAAAGTGGGCGTGACTCCAGAGGATAATAGGACCTGAGCTGCCTGCCATATTGGATATAATGCTTGTCAGCACAGTAACATCCAGAATGGGGTATAAGGGGGAGGTGAAAAGCTTATCTCCACATCTCGCATGATGTGCATGGAGACTAGTGAGGCTCAAAGAGCTTTCAAAGGACTCACCCAAGGCTGTGTAAGCAGCAGGTAGGACTAGCAGATGGTTATAACTCCGTGTGCCAGTTCTCCGCAGACTGGCAATGGCTGTATGGAACGTCACATGGATAAAAGAGTCTGGGATTGATTAGTAATGTCTGCCTCCGGTTTGGGACAAGGAAGTGGCTAAAAGTACTTGGTGCTTACATACACACTGACTCATTTAAGCTGTTAGTGAGCAAGTACATCATGCAGGTCTTTATACTGGAGCTCAGTGGCAAATAAGAAAAGTCCTTATGCTCGGGAGACTCGTGTTCTATGGGGGGGGGGGAGAGACAGTGTGTGTATAAACTGATGTTAATCTTGTAATCTTAGCCAGTGTGAACACAACGTAGGCTAGACAGCTATGGTACGGAGAGGAAGGAGGAAAACCGAGGGGCCAGACAGGTGACATTTAAGCTGGTATCCAAACACTAAGATGGAAGGACTCCAGGCAGAGGGAACAGTCAGTGGGAAATCCTGGAGTGGGCCTTTCAAGTGCCAGGGAGACCAGAGCTGGCTGCTCAGAGCAGAAAAAGGTCAGCAGAAGAGATGGGAATGGAGGTGTGCCCAGATGGATGTCTGACAGGCCGCCCAAGCCCAGCAAGTACACACCCAACAAACCCCTCAGTTCCTGCCCCCATCACGACATCATCTCCACTCCTCTTCCTGTACTCGGCCCCCTCATCTTCAAGTCCTTTCCTTTCCTTCTCTCTAAAGGAGGCCCCATCTTCCTTATGGTTTGGACCACTATGGCACAACCCCGGTCGCTACTGTCTCCTCTGATCTCCTTGCCTCCTCCCTGGTCTACAACAGAAAATCTCTAAAGCCTTTATCAAACTAGTTCTGCCACTGCATCCTGAGACAAGTTCTCTTTCTCTGTTTTGTCCTCACATGTGCACTAGCTCACCAGGCGCACAGCTTTCTCCTTTAAAGAAACCTGGCGCTGTTAACTGCCACACACATTCCTCAGTTGTCTCCGAACCCACAGTGTTTGCAGAGAAGATTTGGGAGCTGGACATTCGTTCTCAGGGTGAGGGGGCACTGATTTTGGTTCCTCAGGTCTTCACCCACTCATGTTCACACCGATGCTTGGGTTCAGATGATTCACCATCTTCTTACGGACCCCACAGCTGCTGAATGTATGGGCTTGACAGTTGGATTCGGGTCCTTTTGAGCATCAAGCTTCCTCCTAAAATCAAACAGACCAACAACAGTGTGATCAGAGACATGTGTTTACTATAGCCTAGCTGTTTCCCCTCCATTTCAAAGCCCAAGAGCCTATTCCTTGGCATCTCAGCTTGGAAAGATGAGAGAGTTTGGGCCTTCTACGTAGTTGGCTTTCAGTTCCAGTGGGTCCACCTGCCCCCATCTCCTTTATTCTTTGTTGCCAGCTCATCACCTTTCTCCCCAGGCTGTCGTAGCCAGAACTTTGGTGCTGTCCAGTCTGGTCAGGAAGCATTCCCGTGGGAACCATGCTGTCAACATCCGGCGAGGACAGGCCCCCATTACCTGCCACCACTGCTGCCTCTGCTATCAGACCCAAGAACAAAGGAGCTTGGTGCCTGCCGCCTGGTGGGCTGTTTGTCCAGGGCGAGGCCTAGCCTGGCACAGATGTTGAGTAAACAGGAGTGCCAACCTCACTACTCTGCTTTCAATAAGCAAGTCTTTAATTGGGATATGTTGCCCCTAGGCCACCTGCTGAAAATTCACCCTGGTCAACACCAACCAGCTTTCCAGGACAGAGAGGGCTATAGGGCAAGCCATCCCTTTTCTCTACCTCAGGATCTCCAACCCCACAATTGCGAGTTGGATAAGATGGTTTCTAACGTCCCTTCTGTGGACTAGAGCTTTGCTAGAGGTTTCTGGAAGCCTTTAGAACTTAAGAATGGATTAGGCCTCTGAATAAGGCATCCCTCCCCCAAGCTCCACGCTGCCCAGGGAGACAAAGCTCTTTCAGAGCAATAACTTCAGGCTCCGGATTCGTGACCTCATCCACCCTGGGGGGTTTACCTGAACTGGAGTCTTGGGGTGGCTTATGGTCAAGGGAACAAGTCTGTCCACTGTGCTTCCGAGGCCATCTTGAACCTAACTCTCATTCTTTGACCCAGAAACCAGAAGGTAGGTAAGGAAGGCTCTGGGAGATCATGGAGCGATTCATGTCCCTTACCCACTTTGGACAGTGAAAAGATGCGCTGTGGTGAAGCCTTCAGAATTTGGTACACATCAGAATCATGCTACAGAAACTCTGAGTCCTAACATCGGAGGTGGACAGGGGTAACGTACTCAAGGTTCTGTTTTGAACACACATCGATGCTCCTCAGTTCTTTGGTGACATGTAGTGGGGGTCTGAAGCTATGTAGTCCTGAGTTCAACTCCTCCTTCTTTTTAGCTGGAATACTTGGGGCACGCTGCCAAATCTTTGTACACATGAGTTTGTCTCTGTCTTTTTTTCTTTCTTCAGTTTTGTCTTAAACGGAGGCTATAATAGCACCTACCTTGAATAAGTGCGGGCTATTGTTTAGGGTGTTTATTGTACCTTGTAAATGTTCTAAGAAATGAGCCGGCGGAAATCCATTGCCAGAACCTGGAGGTTCCCTTTGATGTTTCTGAGGCCTGCACCTCTCTCACCCACCTAGTCACAGATTCTGGCAAACTCTTTCCCCTAAATACACTTCAAACTTGTCCTTGTTGGTCCCTCCTCAGAGCTATCACCCTCTTCTAAGCCACATCCTGATCACTGCAGGGTCCCTTCGCTAGTTCCTGGGATTCTCTCTTGCTTCTGCCTGTTCATCCTCCCCAGTTCAGCCATGCCAATCTGATAGGGCATTGCCCCCTGTTTCAAACTAGCTCTGAAGAAGGCTATAGAATGAGTCCCCCATATATGTATATCCCCCACACCTACTTCTCAGCCTCTTTCTGTCTCTCATCTCTGACTCCACACCTAAGCTGTTCTGAATTTTCAGATACGTCGATTCTAGGTCTTAACACGAAGTGCGTGTTTTCTCACTGGAAACACGCGCATTACTCATCTTTCATATTGTCACTCAGATGCCGTTAGCAATGATCCTCATGTGTGCTTCAAAAATCTAGGTTCTTTCTCTGCAGGAGTGTTTGTTACCCCTGGCTGTGAGCTTTAAAGGTACCTCCACAGCTCACATAGCTCAGGATAACACGGGCTTCTCTTCCCTAGCCATTCTTTGATACATTGGGGGATTGGTGGTGCTCAAAAGTATTTATTAAACAAATTATCACGTCTAAATGGACGAATAAATAAACCCTTGAGAAGCCCTGGGAGCAGTCTCTGACAGTGTGTGGGTAAACTCCACCCCCAGCCCTTTCCCCACTTGCTAAGGCCTATGCTAGGTCTGGACGTGCTTGGGAGAAAAAAAGCTAGACAGAGACCCTGGGGTCTGCAAGCCACAGGGGGGCGCCCCCAGCTCGTTCTATCTGGTTATCACCTTCTAGGACTCCTGCTGGTTACTAATCGCCAATGGGCGAAAGGGGCGTGATCATCCGGCTGATGGACAGTGTGGCTCCGCCCAATCTAATTCATCTTTTCCTTAGCTCCTCCTGCTCCAGGCCCCAAGACACCGAGGGTGGGCTCGGTGGAGGAGCGGCCAACTGAACTCCAGCGGAGTGCTCTCGCAGCAGAACCAGCTGGCTGGGCGGTCTGTGAGTGGGCGGCCGGTCTCTGGGGGCGTGGCCGGAGTGTTGACGGGCAGGCCAGTAGGCCCGCCCCTCTCGCCCAGAGCGGCCGCTCCAACGCGAGGACCAGTAGAAGTGAGTACGTGAGCGGCGCAGCTAGATCCCGGCTCCTACCTCGGACGGCGCACGCACTCGGAGCCCGGGATCCGAGCTCGGCCCGCCGTGGACTGTACCCCGAGAGCCGCGACCACCTGCGCCCTCTGCCTCCCGAGTCCTCCAGCGTCGAGTCACGCAGCACCCCGGATCCTCCTGGACCGGTCCGTCCAGATTCCCGCGGACCGACCTGCCGGCATCTCCCCGGAGCGCGGGGTTGGGCGACACCTCGGTTACGGAGCCGCCCGTCTGCTTTGCGCCCCCTCCCTGCCGGGATCTCTTGGACTGTACGCGAGCGAGCCTTCTCCTCGGGCGCCCTCGGCCCCGCCGGCGCGGCCCCGCTCGGTCCCCCG